CACACACAGCCTCTTCCCAATATGCGTTTTTGCAATTTACATATATGCAAAAACGCATAAAAAAATACTAGCGTCAAGTGACTACCGATGGACAAAGGGGACAACTATGAATGAATGCATGTGTTCCTTTACGAAATGGGAAGACGGCGAACTGAGTTTTAGCCTCATAATGGAGCTTGCGCTCCAGGATGAAACTGATAACAAACCCTCACGACTCTTTCTTCGTCCAGTGCCAAAATGATGAGGTAGCGTAGTGGGTTCACTATAACGACGTGCCTCAAACAGTGTTCCGTGTGGATAAGGCGAACATAGCAACGGATTCTGAATAGATATCGCTGATGCCATACCTGCAAAAAAGGGGCCGACTGGCTGAAATCAAATTCAGGATTTTCCAGGAATTTACTGTCGTGTTACTTTAACTAGTGGCTTCAGGCCAGCAAGTGCATGTGATCCATTACCAAATTTTTCATGGACGTGTGACCAGGACGATTGTGTCCGTATTATCGCCATCTATAATCTCTTAGCAGATATCTCCCCATGAAACATCCTCGTCGAAGACCTGGCTGACTCTTTACTGGCATTACCTGTTGGCGATGGCACAGCTATGCTGGCTCCTTTCGTGCGATCAGCAGGATAGGACTCAGCAAAATCCTTCCGATTTGTCCAGTCTGCGCTGGCTGCCGTCGGGTGGCAAAAGAGTGCTGCTGATAACCAAGGTGATAAGAATCTTGCATCTGTAAATTATGAAATCAAGGAATCAACAAGAATTAGTGCTTAGTATGAATGCTGGATTCCAGTAGCGAGGCAACCATTTCCTCTGTGACTTTCGTTTTGATGGTCAGTTGATACTAGCGTATGCCAATCGAAAGGCAACCGAGAAAAAGAGCCATCGACAGCCTTTACAACGAGTGGATGCTGCTAGCACTTTCTGTGCTCTGAAAAATTCCGAGTGCCTCCGTTCCTTGCCCAGAACGAATATGGAAGGGTTTTAATACTGGATGCTGGCAAAGCATGATAGCAAATATTTCATAATTTGCAAGCACTGCTCATGGATTTTTTCCTTGAAACCGTAATTAAGAG